TCGGCCGCCACGGGTGTGAGGGCGCAGGACGCATTTCGGGAGCATCGCAAGCTCTGTCCACGCAGCCTCGGAGTTGTTGTGCACGGTCTGGGCCACCGTCTGCACTAAGCACCGTGCCCAGAGGTCCCGGGCGCCCTTCGGGACGTAGCGCTTGGTGGTGGAGCGCTTGGAGAAAGCTTCCCGGAGGGAGGGGAGACCCGCGGGCTCGCTGTGCGGTTGGCCGCCAGCGGCGGGAGCGGCGGCTGCCACGGCTGCGGCCGCGCGCGCGGCAGGGCGGCAACGCGGGCAGATGCCGCCGAAGCGCGTCGACAAGAACCGTTGGCAGACCGAGCATTGCTCCAACCGGTGCTCTTGCAGGTACTCGGGCGGGACTGGTGGCAGCCCAGGGAACCGCCCGGCGGCGTGCTCGTTCAGGTGCGGGCGCATGCTTTGGTGGTCCCCCCAGCCGGCGGAGGACGCGGCGTCGCCGCGCGGGCACCCAGGGACGGGGCAGTGCACCCGGACGCGGGCACGAACCCTGCGCTGGTGGGCAGGATCGGGCGCCGGGGGAGGGGGGGCTGGCATCTCTTGCCCGGCTGGCGGCGCTGCCTGTGGAGCCCCGGGCGGCGGGGCGCCCTCCCCAGGAGCGCTGGCCGGGGGGCGGTTGAGAGCCTCGGCCCGGCGCTGTTCCTCCAAAGGAATCCCCGCGTCCACATGCATGTCCCTGGCAGGGTCGAGATTCAACCCGCCGAGTCCCACGACCAGGAGCGGCTCATCCCCATCAGTCCGGTTGCGCCGGAGGTGTCGCCCAGGGGAGCGAACCGCTGGCCCCGCCTCGACAAACGTGTTGCTCACGTGGACCTCCTGCCTCGCTGGGCCCGCAGAGGCAGAGGAAGCCGCCGCGGCGCTCGGACGCTGAGGGCTGCGGGAACCGCCCCGCCGGCACGTGCACCGATTAGTCTCCCATTGGCACGTGGCGCAAATGCCATCCGAAGCGGGGAAAGCAGGCGCGGTGACCGCCCGAACGAGGAGGACCACCTGGCCGGCCCAAGCAGCGGGGCTCGTTGGGCAGAACCACGCTGGGCTGAGGGCCGCCGTGGAAGCCAGCGTCAAAGCCTCGCACAGGGGGCGTCGGACGTGGAAGTCGTGAGCGAGAGCCGTCGCACAGATCGCTGCCAAGCCCCGCTGCGCGGGTCCGCCGTGCACCATGGCCCCATAGACGACGACCTCGAGAGAAGCTGGGGAGATGGGAATCCACATGGGCACGCAGAAGTGCATGCCGCTCCCGACGCGCATGCGGCGCAAGAGCGGAGGTGCTGGTGAAAGTAAAGCTCGGCTGAACTAGTGTAGTGGCCTCGTGGGGGCTCTGGTGTAGCGCCCAGGAGCTGGTCCTCGCAGTCGTGGGAGCCGAGCCGGTGCTGGTGGTAGGAATCGCCGCATCGGCGGTGGTTGCCGCTGTAGTGTTCGTACTCGTGGCAGTCGTAGGCATGCTGGTTGCACAGGTGGTCGTGCTGGTTGCCCGTGTCGCTGGTGCTGGTCGTCTGTGTGTGGTCGTGCTGATTGCACTGGTTATGCCCGTGGTGATGCTGGTAGTGCTGTTTGCACTGGTTCGTGCTCGGACTCGTCGTCGTAGTCGTGCTCGCGCCGGTGCTGTCGTGGACAGTGGCGTAGGCTCTGGCGTTGGTGCTGTCGTAGGCGCGGGCGTTGGCGCTGGCGTCGATGCTGGCGCTGGTGCTGGTGTAGGCGCTGGCATTCATGCCGACCGAGGCGCCGGCGTTGGTGCTGTCGTCGGTGCTGTCGTCGATGGTGGCGTAGGCTCTGGCGCTGGTGCCGGCGTAGGCGCGGGCGTTGGTGCTGGCGTCGATGCTGGCGCTGGTGGTGGCGTAGGCGCTGGCGCTCATGCCGGCGTAGGCGCCGGCGTTGGTGCTGCCGTCGGTGCTGTCGTCGACGGTGGCGTGGGCTCTGGCGTTTGTGCTGGCATAGGCGCGGGCGTTGGCGCTGGCGTCGATGCTGGCGCTGGTGCTGGTGTAGGCGCTGGCATTCATGCCAGCGTAGGCGCGGGCGTTGGTGCTGTCGTCGGTGCTGTCGTCGATGGTGGCGTAGGCTCTGGCGTTTGTGCCGGCATAGGCGCGGGCGTTGGCGCTGGCGTCGATGCTGGCGCTGGTGCTGGTGTAGGCGCTGGCATTCATGCCAGCGTAGGCGCGGGCGTTGGTGCTGTCGTCGGTGGTGTCGTCGACGGTGGCGCAGGCTCTGGCGTTGGTGTCGGCGTAGGCGCGGGCGTTGGCGCTGGCGTCGATGCTGGCGCTGGTGCTGGTGTAGGCGCTGGCATTCATGCCCGCGTAGGCGCCGGCGTTGGTGCAGTCGTCGGTGCTGTTCTCGACGGTGGCGTAGGCTCTGGCGCTGGTGCCAGCGTAGGCGCGAGCGTTGGCGCTGGCGTCGATGCTGGCGCTGCCGCTGGCGTTCATGCCGGCGTAGGCGCGGGCGTTGGCGTTGTCGTCGGTGGTGTCGTCGACGGTGGCGTAGGCTCTGGCGTTGGTGTCGGCGTAGGCGCGGGCGTTGGCGCTGGCGTCGATGCTGGCGCTGGTGCTGGTGTCGGCGCTGGCGTTCATGCCGGCGTAGGCGCTGGTGTCGCCCCTCGAGCTGGCTCTGGGGTCGCCCTCGGAACTGGCGTCAAAGTCTCCTCCGAAGATGTCGCCGGTGTCGCCCTCGGAGCTGGCGTCGGGAGCGTCGACCTGTACGGCCGTGGGGCTGCCGTCGGAGCCGGCGTCGGAGACGCCGACGGTGTCGTTGTCGGAGCCGGCGCTGGTGCCGCTGTCGAGGTAGGCGCCAAAAGCCTCGTCGATGCTGCCGTCGGAATTGCTTTCGGAGCCAACGCCGCAGACGTCGTGAGCCACGCCAAGCCAATCGGCATCTCCGCCGGAACCAGCCCCGGGGTCGCGGCTGGAGCTCGTGTCGGAGTCGTCGGCGCGGGGGCCGCCGTCGGAGGTGGTGCCGAAGCCGCCGTCGGAGCCGATGCCGGCGAAGCCGTCGTCGGTGGTGGTCGATGTCGCCGTGGTAGCGGTCGTGGCCCCGGTCGTGGTCGTAGCGGAGGTCGTGGTAGTTGGCGTGGGAGCAGGCGTGGTCGTGGTCGTGGGAGGAGCCGTAGCCGTCGTCGACGCGGTCGTGGTAGTTGACGCGGTACTGCTGGCGTCGCTGGACGTGGCCGTGGTGGTGGCCGCGATCGCGTCCCTCGTCGCCGTAGGAATGCTCGCGGCCGTGGCCCTGGTCGTGGTCGTAGTGGAGGTCGTGGTAGTTAGCGTGGCAGTGGGAGTAGACATGGTCGTGGGATGGATCATGAGCGTCGTAGCCGCGGTCGTGGTAGCCGGCGTGGTAGTGCAGGCGTCGCTGGTCGTGGTCATGGTCGCGGTAGTGGTCGTGGCCCAGGTCGTGGTTGTGGTCGAGGTCGTGGTAGTTGGCGTGGCAGTGGGAGTACTCATGGTCGCGGGAGGGGTCGTAAGCGTCGTAGCCGCGGACGTGGTAGTCGACGTGGCAGTGCAGGCGTCGCTGGTCGTTGTCATGGTCGTGGCAGCGGTCGTGGCCCTGGTCGTAGCCGCAGTGGAGTGTGTGGTAGTTTGCGTGGAAGTGGGGGAGGGCCTGGTCGTGGGATGGGACGTCGCCGTCGTAGCCGCGGTCGTGGCAGTCGTCGTGGAAGTGCCGGCGTCGCTGGTCGCGGCAGCGGTAGCCGCGGTGCCGGCCAGGAGCAGCGGCGGGCCAGTCGACCTGCGGGCGAGGGAGGACGAGCGGGCGGCCCCGACGAAGCAGCAAGCGCAGTCGCAAGCAAGGCAGCAACAGGGAAGAGGGACAAAGGGGAGAATCTGAACTCTAGGAGGCCAGCCCGCCGCGGGAAAAAGGGTACATTCGGGGGGAGATTTAGGAGGGGGAGGAGGATAGCCAAACTGGAACACATAGTCATCATGGACATTCGCGGCAGCCAGCGCCCCATCACTGGCTGCATCCCCCAAAAAGTTGCCGATGGGACGTAGGCGTACGCCCGGAGCTCGTGCTCCTGGCCGTCCGCCTTCATCTCGGCGCCCGCGTACACGTAGCCCGGCACGGTCGCGTAGACCACCTCGATGGGCGGTTTCAGCGGTGTCCGCCTTCCTCCCCAACTTCTCCAGGGCGAGCGCGGTGGACTTCGAGAAGCGCGGGTCGGCCACCTCGTCGTCGGGCCGGTCCATGATCTTGCCGAAGTCCTCCGTCAACACCTCCGCGCCGACGATGGACTTCACCACCATGCCGCCCGACACGCAGGCGGAGAACGCCTGGCCCTGAGGGTCCCCAGGGTACCGGGACACCTGCATCACCTCCATGGCCATCGCGCCCTTCATGCCGTTGCCCGGCTGGTAGCGCAGGATGCCGAAGGGGCGCTTCTTGTAGGTGACGGTGGGGCCCGGACCAATGGCGGCCGAGGCGTCGAACGCCGCATCCGCGTCCTTCGGCCCGCAGCGCTCCAGGTACTCCGCGCTCACGCGCGCGGCCACGCGCTCGCCGAGCTGGCAGGCGGGCGTGGGCGAGCCCACGAAGCCGGCGCCCCTGCGGCACAGGACCACCACCGCGGCCGCCAGCACGCACGTGAGGATGGGCCGCTGGGGCGCCATGGCGGGCGCTTCTGGGCGAGGCCCGCGCGCCGGCGCACGCGCCGGGGCGCGGGGCGCGGGCGCGCGGCGCCGGGGCTTGAGCCTGTTGGGGGCCTCTCCTCTCCTCTCCTCTCCTCTCCTCCTCTCCTCCTCTCCTCCTCTCCTCCTCTCTTCCCTCCTCCCTCCTCCCTCCTCCCTCCTCCCTCCTCCCCCCTCCCCCCTCCCCCCTTCTCCCTCCTCCCTCCTCCCTCCTCCCTCCTCCCTCCTCCTCTCGTGTTGCCGCAGACGGTCTGGCCCGGGCTCGCCCGAGCGGGACTGGCACGGGGCGCTTGGCCAGCCTGCACCGTGCAAGGCCGGGCCCTGGGCTCCCCCGGCCTCCGCTCCCTGCGCCCAGCGCTCGCGCCGATGGTCTTTGCGCCCGGGGAGAGCCCGCTCAGGACGGGAGGTGCTGGAAAGATCCCAGAGCTCCGACAGCCAGAGGAGGGAGAGCGGAGCACGAACAGGGAGACACCAAGAGCTACCCGTGGCAATTGTCTGCACGGGCGCGCCGTGCCGAGGAGCGGGAGGAAGGAGAGGAAGAGAGGAGGAGAAGAGGGAAGCCACGTGGGAGAGGAAGAGAGAGGAAGAGGAGGAAGAGAGGAGGGAAGAGATCTCCGACGGTGTGATGTTTTCCAACCCTGGCGTTTTTGATCGGTTTCGGCCTCTTGGGCCCGTTTTCGGGGCCTGGGGCCGTCGAAAGCGGATCCAGGACGAAAAATTGTCCCCGAGGAATAGGTCGGGAGCTCTGGGGCAGCAGATTGACAGGAATCGTATCGGAGCACATCGGGTATCGAGGTTCGAGGGCCGAAGTTCCCAGATTGGGCCCTGGACATGCCCCAGTGCCGTCAAACGAGTCAGTCAGGATGAAGAGCTGGTCCCAGAGAAGTGTTCTAGATCTCCAGGGGTCCACGTGCAACAAAAAAACACGACGTCGGATATGTCCGTGGTCATACGTGGTTGATCTTTGTGGGGGCCTCTGGGCTTCTCGTCGCCACGGCTGGATCCGCTTCGAACCTCTGGTCGAAACGCGTCCTCGGGAGGGGGGGGGGGAGGCCCAGACCTCCAGCGTGACGACAAGATCGTGACGGACGTCCAAAGTTCGCTAGGAGGGAAGCGGGTCCTGTTGGCCAGGCGGTTCCTGGAGGTTTGGGCCATTCTCAGAGCCTCGGGGCCCTCCACGGGCTTCGAGGCCGTCAGAAAAAACAAACGGCTGCTCGGGGTGAAGAGCCGATCCTGGGGGGAGGCCCAGGGGTCCAGGACCTGTTTCCCGGAGGCCTTTCCTGTTTGCGCGTGCTCTTCTGGCCCCCCGGGTCAGGCAGTACGCGAGCTCCGCTACCCAAGCTCTGGTCGGCATCGCGTGGCCGAGCCTGCAGCCGGAGACAACGCTCGACAAGGTCGTCGTCGACGCGGAGGTTCGGGACGATCGATGGGTAAGGAAAAAATGGTTACGAAGACCAGCAGCAGCTCTAGCTCACTTTTCCTCCTCCTCCTCATTATCCTCCTCCTCATTATCCTCCTCCTCATTATCCTCCTCCTCCTCCTTCTCCTCCTCCTCATCCTCCTCCTCCTCCCTTCCTCATCCTCCTCTTCCATTCCTTTTCCTTCTGAATAATTTCTCCCTGTCGCACCCCGAGGCCAGTGACGCCAAAAAAATGGCACTAGCTTCAAAGATGGAGGACGGATCGTTTTCAAAATGTGGCTCTCGCCTTAGCGCCGCGCACATTCGTTTTAGAAATGTGCAAGAGCTTCACGGATTGAGGGCAGGTGGTTTTCAAAAAGTGGTTCTAGCCTTAGCGCCGCTCACATTCGTTGCAAAAATTTGCAAGAAATTCACGGATTGAGGGCGGGTGGTTTTCAAAATGTGGCTCTCGCCTTAGCGCCGCGCACATTCGTTTTAGAAATGTGCAAGAGCTTCACGGATTGAGGGCAGGTGGTTTTCAAAAAACGGTTCTAGCCTTAGCGCCGCTCACATTCGTTGCAAAAATTTGCAAGAAACTCACGGATTGAGGGCGGGTGGTTTTCAAAATGTGGTTCTCGTTTTAGCGCCGCGCACATTCGTTTTCAACATGTGCAAGAGATTTTCGGATTCCCATGATCAACGTACCAGAAATTGAGTTTTGGAAGGATTCAGGATTATGCGGGTGCAACAGTTATGCTGATTCGCTGTGTTGACGTCCCAGAAGTGGCGTTTTGGCACGATTTCAGATCGTCAGGACGCAGCAGCCAGGTTGATCCGTGGCGTGGAAATCCTGAGAACAATGTTTTGGCATGTTTCAAGGTCTTCAAACAGTTGTCTTCCAACGAGGCAGTTCCCTCAATGGAAATGAACCGTTGCAGGGGCTTATGAAGAGGGAGCTTGGAGGGAGGGTTAATTCCAACATCGTTGGCGACTCTTGGGTTTACACTAGTCCTCCTCCTCCTCCTCCTCCTCTTCCCCCTCCTCCTCTTCCTCCTCCTCGTCTTCTTCCTCCTCCTCCTCGAACAGAATTCGCTGTCGGTGTCGTCGCAGACGTTGTCCACTTGAGACAGAAGGCCGCCTGCCCAACAGCGGCTGCTGTTGGTTTTTGGTAGCATTTGTTGTTGGGCATCGCACCAGTTTCGGGCGTCCACAGAGGTGTGCGTCGATTCGGAGGAGTTCATCCAGCCGTTCTTCCTCTGCGAGCCGCCGCAGCAGGTGCGGCTGTTCATCCAACTCTTCTGCCTCTCGGTGGCCGTCAGCCTCGTCGTGCACAGGGGTGGCGCCAAGGACTTCTACAAGCTGATGCTCAGGTCGCAGCCGCCGCCCGACAAGCGGAGAGGCCTGGGCTACACGGCGTGCAAGGCACACCGGAGAACAAGAAAGCCAGATTCAGAAGCAAAACAAAATAGATGCTAGCCAGCGTCGACCCCAATCAGTGAGTTCTTGCACTGCGGAGGTGAGAGTTACGCGGTGTAGGACATATGTTCTAGTTGATGTCGTGTAAGCTATCTGGCATGAGCTATGGAGGTGAAGTCTACGCGCTGTAACATATGTGGTCCAAGCTATGTTGCTTTATGTATGTGGCGTGAGCTGAAGGTGAAAGCTGTGCGGTGTAAGCTACGTGGTGCAGTGTGTGCAGTGCGAGCTAAGCGGTGTTAGCTATGTGGTGTAGGTTGTGTCGTGCAAGCTAGGTGGTGTAAGTTCAGCGCACGGGGCGCCCACGAGGTGGCAGCGCGGCGCGATCTCGGCGGACCCACCCAGCGCACGGGCCGCCCACGAGGCGCCCATGGGCAGCAACGCGGCGAAACCTCGGCGAACCCACCCAGCGGACAGGCCGCCCACGAGGCGACCACGGGCGCCCACTCAACGCACGGGCCGCCCACCAGGCGCCCACGGGCGGCAACGTGGCGAGACCTTAGCGGAACCACCCAGCGCACAGGCTGCAATTTCTCAAGGAGACAGTAAGAAACCCCAAGTGCAAGCAATGCTTTGAGAATGGTACACCTATACGTATGCATGTATGTATGCATGCATGCATGTATGTATGTATGTATGTATGTGTATAAGTATAAGTATAAGTGTATGTATGTCTGTGCATGGATGTATGTAAGCTATGCGCTGTAAACTATGTCGTGTGAGCCACGAGACGGCCACGGGCGGCGACGCGGCGAAACCTCGATACGCATGCGGTGCAGCATACGCGGTGCAAGATAGAGGCGGCCACTGGCATCAACGTAGCGAAACCTCGCCGGACCCACCCAGCGCACGAGGCGGCCACGAAGCGGCAACGTGCGGACGAGGCGGCCACGACGCGGCCACGTGCGGCAACATGGCGAACCCTCGCCAGACACCCAGCGCACGAGGCGGACGAGGAGGCCACGTAGGATAAAGGATGTGGTGCAAGCTAGGAGGTGCAAGCTGTATGGTGGAAGTTACGTGGTGAAAGTTCCGTGGTGCAATCTACGTGGCGCACGTTATGCGGTGCAAGCTATGTTGTGCAAGATGTGTACGTTGGGCGGCCACCCGGCGGCGACGGGCGGGTGGGCACCGGGCGGCCACGGGCGGTCACGTGCAGCCACGGGGCGGCCACGGGGCGGCCACTGGGCGGCAACAAGAGAAAGATGTTAACCCACCCAGCTCCTCAGCAAAACGAATCGGAAATCCCAAGTGCAAGCGCTGTGCGGGGAACCTATCAAACGAACAGACGTACACAACCAAACAACAATATTCAAACAGAAAACAGCAGCAACCAGAGCAAGCCGCAACGACAAACAAACAAACTAGCAACAACAGCAACAACAACAACGACAGCAACGATAACAACAAAAATCATGTTCAGACTGCTCGCTCTTGTTTGCTCGCGTGCCATTCAGCGCGTACATCCCAAACCCTCGATTCCCGCCCTTTACGTCTCCGATCGTACCCCGTTGGGGGCTGTCATGCGTATTTGGCACAGCCGCTAAAACAGGGGAAGAGAGGACGGATGTAAGGAAGGGACAAGAGGGAGGGAGAAGGATGTAGCACGAGAGAGAGTAGTAGGATGGGGACTGGGAGCAGAAAACGCGTGGCAGAACCAGACTGGCAGACTGGGCGGGTAGACCCTAACGGGCGGGTCGGGAAGGCGGGCTCAGGCGGTCAGGTCGAGCAGGCGGGTTGTTGAAGCGTGAGTCTTGCATGAATCGCGAAGAAGTCTCGAGCGACAGCGCGATCCCCAGCTAAATCTTGAGAGAGGCCAGAGCGAGAGCGCGATTCCTGCATAAGGTGTGAGGAGGTCAGGCGCGAGAGCGCGATGTTGGAATCGGAGGTCGGGGGGTGAGAACGTGAGAACGCAGTGGAACGGAGAGCCCTCCACTGGGAGATCTGTTTCGTATTCGTGTCGTGCGTGCGGGCGAGGCGAAGCTGCGTGGGCGCGCGAGAGGAATGATGCCGCCGTGGCCAGGGGCTGTGGAACCCATTGTCCGCCCCTCCCCCCCGGCGCGCGGTGGCCACTGGTGTTCCGTCGGTGGCGCGTCGGTGTCCCGTCGATGTCCCGTCGACGCCGTGGCTACGGGCTGTGAAGCTGGTCGTCCGCTCTTCCCCCCCCCCAGCGCGCGGTGGCTGGGGGTGTCCCGTCGGTGTCCCGTCGGTGTTCGGTGTCCTGGAGCAGGGCGGCGCGAGTCACTGTCCCGGAGCAGGACGACGAGATCGATAGTGAGACCGTTCGGGAGATCGATAGTGAGATCGTTGGGAGATCGATAGTGGGATGTGTTGTGAGATCGATGTTTGGATAGTTTTTGAGATCTAGAGTGGAATCGACAGATCGAACATGAGATCGATTGGGAGATCGACTGTGAAACTGATAGTGAGAACTTTTGTGAGACCGATAGTGGGTCCGACTGCGAGATCGATCGTACGTTCGACTGTCATATCGATGCTGAGATTGATTGGGAGATCGACAGTGCGGTCTGTTGTGATACTGATCGTCGCCAACCCGAGGGCGCATCACCCGCATCGTCTTCATCACAACCACCAAATTGCCATCAGTTGGTTTGTTTCCAACCCCCCCTTCCAACACTTCCTTATCACCCGAAGGGTGGTCTCAGAGGTAATTTGTTTGGGATTATCAGGCGGAAGCCATCGTTGTTGGAAACCCGGGGCACAGTCTGAGTCCCAAGATTTTCTTATGCTGAAAGCAGGGTGCGAGCCCCAGGAAGAGCACTTGAATTCGATACGAATTCAGAGACAACAACAAACATAACAGCAACAACAACAACAACAACAACAACCAACAACAACAACAACAACAACAACAACAACCACAGCAATAACAACAGCAATAACATCAACAGCAACAACAACATGTACCATGTTAAGACTATTCGCTCTTACCTGCTCGCGTGCCATTCAACACGTATATCCCAAACAATCGATGACCGTTTTCTTCGTCTTCGATCGTACCCTTTCTGGGGGTATATCTTCCTTACCTGCCGCGCGTAATTGGTGCAGCAGCTAAAACAGTGGAAGACAGGCCAGATTGAAGGGAGAGGGAGAGGGATGGAGCACGGTATTAGCAGGAAGGGATTATTAGCAGAAGCCACGTGGCAGAACCAGACGGGCAGATCGGGCGGGTAGACCCAATCGAGCGGGTCAGGAAGGCGGGCCCAAGCGACCAGGTCGAGCAGGCGGGTTGCTGAAGCGTGAGTACTGCATGAATCGCGAGGACGTCTCGAGCGATAGCGCGATTCCCAAGTGAATCGCGAGAAAAAACGAGAGCGCGATTCGTCAGCGTCGAAGGCGCGGCGTTCGAATAAATTGCGAGGAAGTCCCACGCGAGAGCGCGATTTCTACACAAATTGTGAGGAAGTTCCGCGCGACAGCACGATGTTTCAATACACCGTGTGGAAGTATCAGGCGGGAGCCGTTGATGTTATAGTTCGGGGCCCAGCAATACAGTTTGGTGATCCCACATTCTCTTTTGTTGAAAATACGGTGCGAGTGCCAGGAGGAGCACTTTAATTGAAAAACACGATAGTCACACCCAGGGGGGTCAACCAGAATTATTGCGAAATAGGTGTTCAACAGCAACGGTTTTGAGACTGTTCGATCCTACCTGTTCGCATGCCATTCAAATAATATATCCCAAACCCTCGATGCCCGCCCTCATCGTTTTCGATCGTACCGCCCTTGGGGATGTATCGTCGTTACCTCCCTCGCGTGGATGGCGCAGGCCCCGAAAACACGGGAGGGAAGGGAGGAGGGCAAAGTCAAGGGGGAGAGAGAAGGATGGAGCATAAGAGAGATTAGCAGGAGGGGGTCAGGAGCCAGAGTACTAGCGGTAGAACCAGGCGGGCGGGTCGGGCGGACGGACCCTAGCGGGCAGGTCGGGCGGGCGGGCCCAGACGGCTGGGTCGAGCGGGCGGGTCGTTGAAGGGTCAATTCAGCATGATTCGCAAGGAAGTTTCGAGTGATAGCGCGATTTCCAAGTAACTCGTTCAGAAATCAGTAGCGAGAGCGTGATTACTGAGTGTTGGGGGTGAGGCGTCGCAATGAATTTCGAGGAAGTACCACGCAAGAGCGCGATTCTTTAATCAATTATGAGAGAGAGAGAGTCCCGCGCAAAAGCGCAAGTACCACGCGAGAGCCCGATTCCTTGATAAGATGATGAGGAAATCCCACGCGAGAGCACAATTCCTAGATGAATTATGAGGGGGTCCGCGAGAGCGCGATGTTTCAATAACTTGTGAGGAAGTACCAGGCGGGAGCCGCTGCTGCTGCAAACCAAGCGCCAGCGATACAATTTGAGCCCTAAAATGCTTTGGGGGTAAAAACCGACTGCGAGCCCTGGGAGGAGTTTTTAAATTGAAAAGAACATTGGGCATCGAAGGTGGGTTCAACAATAGTTATTCTGTATATACGAATGACAGCTCAACCACAATAATAACAACAGCAACAACAACAGCAGCAACAGCAACTGCAACAGCAACAGCAACAATAGCAGCAGCAAAAGCAACATCCGAGGACGCTTGGAGATGACAAGGAAGCTGGATGCACACGGCGCGGCCAGCCTCGGCGAAAGTTGGTTACACATGTGGCCGCATGTCCTTCCAGCGCTCGGCCATTCTGATGCCATGCACGCACACACAGCTTCCGCACATACATATTATATATATATATATATATTAAATATATATTATATATATCCAGCGAGTGGCCTCCGGATGCTCCACACGCGAATCTGGCCATGTGTGTGTGTGAGTTTCCAGTTCCTTGTCGTGCTCGTAAGGTTTTTCTGGCTCTCCAGGCATATGGGGTCATCCCAGTCCCGCGCCTCCCCGAGAGTATGTTCAGCTTGGTCCGCTGGACTCTCGTGGCCACGCTGCTGCTGGCCTGTCACACCTCGCTTGCCCCGCGTTTCTTTCTCTTCGCCAGCTTCGGGCTGTATTTCCTCTACTTCGGGCAGCTCTTCTGTGAGTCCAAGCATGGCGGCCACGGGTCCTTGCTGATGCCCTCCGTGATCCTGCTCCTGGCCCTAAGCGGCGGCCCCGAGGGCAGCCCCTGGAGCCTGGTGTTCATCAAGATCTTCCTGGGCCTGATCTACTTGTCTGGCGCTTTGTCCAAGCTGCTCGTGTCGGCCTTGATGGGCAAGCGCTGGGGCGGCGCCACGATGCAAGCATACGTGTTCGACGCCATGTGGTGCCGGCCGCACCGCTGGGCGATCGTCAGAGGCCTCCAGCGGGAGCTCTTGAAGCGGTGGTGGGGGTGCCGGGCGCTCGCGATGGGCGGCCTGGCCTTCGAGCTCGGCTTCCTGCCGCTGGTGCTTCTCGGCGGGCAGGTGGGCTCCGTCGTGGCCGCGATGGTCGCCCTTGGCTTCCACGTCGGCGTCGACCTGCTGCAGGGGCTGGACTTCATGCCTTTCTGGTGTCCGGTCTTCTGGGCTTTCCTGCCCGACCTGCAGGCTTTGCTGACCGGTCGCGCCATGCTGCCCGATGAGACGTGGTACGCCACGGTGGTTCAGGGCTTCGAGGAGGAGCCCTGCCGGTGGATGCTCAGCGCGGCGTACTTGATGATGCAGGTCATTGTCGCAGTTCGTTTTCAGGACCTCTTCGAGGGCAAGGAGGCATTGCCGTTCACCTGCTGTCCGATGTTCTCGGTGCCGCGGAACATCTTCGGCGACGAGCTTCGCGGGGGCGTCCTGACAGACTCGAATTTCAGAGACGGTGGCCACATTGACGTCATGTATAATTTTGCTCCCTGGTGTTCCGACCTGCCGATGAGCGTGGAGGATCTCCAGCAAGTACCTTACAGGATGCTCATGTGGATTTCGACCTTACACTGCGATCCCAAAGTGGAGCGCCTGCTGGGCAAGAGCTTCCTCGGCCAGGACCTGGTGGTCTGCGCCAACTTCGAGGTTCCGAAGGAGCTGGAGATGAAGCTGAGGGAGCTGGTGCGCACACTCGAGGACTGCCGCTCGGAGGACTGGAGCAGCCCTGCCAAGGTGGAAGAGGTGCTGAACCTGCAAGGGCAGTGCCAGGCTCTCTTCCAGGCAGGCCGCCCCCAGGAGGCTGGCCGGCGGCCTCAAGCCCCGAAGCACCAGAGCGTCGGCTTCTGGATCGGCCGGCCGGACGAGGCGCACAAATTGCTGCAGACTTGAGGCTGACGATTGGCCTTTAATATTTCCCGACCTGTCGGGGCAGCAAAGATCACAGGGGTACCTAGGCTCGGGTTCCTCTTCGTCCTCCTTTTCCTCATCCTCCTGACCCGCCTCCCCCTCCTCTCACCCCCTCTCCTCCTGAATACATGATCGCGTCAGGTGGGCTGTCCAAATGCATCAGATCGGCCCAACTTGCTTTGGAGAGCATTGGAAAGACCCACAAGCCAGTTCAAGTTCTGTTTCACAACGTGTTAGCGGATATCCCGTGCATGACGTCTGCCAAACCGCCGCCCATGCCCGTGGAGGTTCCGATCAAACCTTATCCTGAACCCCTTCTGGGACACCATCCTGGATTGCGCTCAGAGTAGTGGGCTGTTATTGCTAAGTATAAGGGCCCCAAGGGGCCAAATTCAGAGACACTTGAATCTTGTGTAGAAGAAGTGGGCGAATATGTTTGCCAGCGCCGTCAGTTCGAAGTTCCTGTTTCGGGTGCCATGGGAAGGTTGCCGAGGTGAATGTGGAGGTGGGCGCTAGATGCAAACAGGAAAACGAGGTCAAGCAGCCCCTGCTGTACTCGTTGCGCTGATTGGAAGACACGTTCAGCCTTTTTTGCCAGCTTGGTGCAAAGCTTGCAGAAGGAGGGAGGGTCCTCCTTAATTGGTCCTCTTCAATTGTGGGCGCTGCACGATTGCCGCAATCCGATCTCGTGGAGATTTTCGAACGGCCAAGTTCCGCCAGTGCCTCATCTGGATAAAGGGGGATTTCAGGCGTCAGCCCCAACGCCAGCGCACCCTTCAGTGTCACCATCGAGCGCAGCACCTACGATCTGGCAGCTGCGCAGATTGAGGGAAGTGCCCGCCGACCCGCCAGATGTTATTTCATGTTACGTTTAAGAGCCTTGCTTTGGAATTGTATGAGAAGGTAAGGATATTGATCCACTGTCCCGATCCAGATCAGATCTTCGGGGATTCAGAGGCCCTCGTAGACGTAGACAGGAGGCGAGTTGTTAGATGAGATCTCTGAGGCTTGTGGGGGGGTATTCGATGAAGCCCAGGAGGGGGAAGCCACAAGGATCGGAAGGCTTGGCTCCTCGAGGATATCCACAGAGGTGCTGTGAACTCCCAAATTTGGACTCGGCTGCCAAGGGAGCGGGTCCCCACGTGCACGCTTGCGGCCTCTGGAGATGTCCTGTCAGGCCCCGATTCGGCACGCGCGATCGAGGCCAATAAGGTATGTGGTTTCTGGTAGGCGTCAGCTGGGGCCAGCGTCAGCCTCAAGAAGGAATAGTTGCAGCCACTCCAGTTTCCTGGCCTAGCGGACATTTGAAAAGCAGCCAGACAGCACAAAGCAAATTTCAAGATGTTTCAGACACTTCCATTGACGGGTTCCACATGAAGCACTTTGCAGATATCTCTACGACGGCGCCCTTCAAGTGGTGATGACGATGGTGGTGAGCATGACGGGGTCGACCTCCCTCTTGCCGAACCCTACCCGATACATCCGCACACCTCTCTTGGAGAGATCACCTGGATTCTGGAGGCCGATCGGATTATTCAGCTATGTTTGCCGCCTCTGGGGCAAGCCCAGAAAGCTTGTTGCAGCAACCAGCGAGGCGGATGTCACAGCATGTTCACTGCAGCTGATAATTTTTGAGGAGCCGCAGATGCTTGTGTGGAGGCAAGCGGTCAAGTCGGATGTTGCCGCTCAAGATATTGAGGCCCAGAAGTTTCGTAAAAGCAAACCACGGGATCCGGTGGCGTGCTAGGTCTGGCGGGACCTCGAGAAGTTTTACTAGACGATGAATTGACACGGTTTGGGATGCAGAGGTTGTTTCATGCAGTTCCCGCCGCAGCTCTGTCGCGTCAGCATTGAGGCGCATCGCAGGTCTCGCCATTAAGAGCTCACGGCCCGTATTTCGACAGCTGCAGATTGATTGCCGTATGCTCGCTAGCCACTGCGCATATGAGAGCGTTTGAAATACCCACGGTCGGCACGATTATGTTTCCTTCGGATGCCATTCTAGACATACGTGGACGACGATGGACAACTTGCGGAAGGCAAGGCTCGACGGGCAAGTAAACGCATCATTCACGTCGCAGCCGACTTGTTCCTGGAGCTCACGTCGAATCTGAAGTCCGAGCTGGCACAGGACAACGCCTCAGCGATATTCTCGTCGGCGGGAGCCGGTCAGGATGCGATCGCCGCCCTCGGCAAGCACGGGGGCCCCGCGTCGGCGGCGTCGGCAGCCAACCCAGGCATCGACGACACAGCTGGAAAGAGTGGGGCGACAGAAGGGGTCGAGGAAGGAGGCGCGAGGAGCGCGCGATCGCGCCCCCCGAGGGGACAAGAAGGTTCAAGAGCCAGGAACGCCCCCGGCCTGGTTGGGCAGGTCTACACCAGCGGGCAGCTGGCGGGCTTGAACTTACGGGTCGGAGGTCCCCGGGGGTTTCAAATTACAATTTGAGAAAAACGAGGAGGTAGTTTTCGGATTCAGCATTGCATCCATCGGCGGGGATGAGACCATCGACATCGCCATCGCCGTTTCACGGAAATCCTTCTCACTTAGGACTGGTTTCGCCAGCGGTCCGATATTCCAAGGCTGCGCTTGCCAACCAGCTGGGCCCAGTCGCTCGCGCATTGCCCGTCGCGAAATCCAGGGAGGCGCGGCCCTCTACTTTTTCGGCGCCAGAGAAGGAGTTCTCCTGGAGAAGAGCGGCTGGCCCGACGACGGCGCGAGGACGGGCGGGCCTCGTAACCCGCTGGATTAGAAAGCGCGGGCTGGAGAGGTCGCGCCAGACGCGCCACGATGATCCCCCCATTAGGGCCTGGGGCCCCAGCGCAGCATTGCAGAGACCAGCCCAGAGGTTTTCCGGTCGCTCAGGCAAGCGACCAGAAAGTGTTTTTGGAGGACGCATTGGCGGGATCTTGATTCTCCGGTTCCTCCTTCCTCGCCTTGAATATTATAATCGCCAAATGGGGCGAGGACCAGATCGCGATTCCGCCCAACGCGTCTTCGCAAATTAGCCTGGCGAAGGACCCAACCGCACACAGTTGCGAGTACCCAGCAGGATATGACACGAGGTAGGGGGGCACGCAAACTACAGGCAGCGCAAGACACGGCCCCTCTTCTCATGGGCACCGCGCCACTGCATGGACGAGGCACAGGGCAGCGCGGGCAGGAGGTGGCCGGCGGATGAGGAAGGCTCTGCGGGGCGAGCCACCACATCAGCATCAGCGCATCTTGACACATGGTACTGGACACGCAGGAAGAGGTCACGGAGACACCGCGTAGACGTCAGAGGCAGGTCAGCAGCGGCAGAGTCGAGACTGGGGGGCGCGCGGCCAGCAAGCGGAGGAAAGCAGGACGAGAGACGAAGGGTGACGAGTTTGCTTGCGAGCCGACAGCGAGCCACGCAAAGTGCACCGCGCAGGTGGCGCCGCGCGAAAGTGTCTGGGGAGTTCCCGCCGACGCGGTCTGGCCACCCCGAGGGCGGGAGTCTCATCGACGCGCGGGGGTCGTCCACTGCGACTCAGAGCAGACGGAGAGGCGACGCGAAAAGGGCGCGATCTGGATGGAACTCCCCCGACAGGCGCCAGCCATCCCGTGGCAAGACATTCCGACGACGAGCCGGGGTCATCCAAACGTCTACGACAGCCAGCACGCGCCGCCAGCTCGCGCGCGGCCAGCCGCCACGGCGGCCCCTCAGATCAGGCGTTGCGGATGAATTCGCTGAAGCCCAGCTCCCCGGCCAGTCACCTCGCCTTCCACGCTCGCTGGTTCGCGCGCGTCGCGAACCTGGTCGGCGCCCATTTCCGGAGCGTCGAAAACGCTCGAGACGGCATCGCCTTTCGCGCAGGCGCACGCGAGCAGCTGGCCCCCCCGCAGAACTGCGTCGACTCCCGGCACCGCGCCCGAACTGGCCTTCTTTCCAAGCCAGTTTCAGATCACGCCAAGTCGTTATCAGTGCAGTTTGAGATGAGACTGCGGCCCTCCAGCAGTCCTCGCCGCTCACAGTCTGGAATGTCATCGCGAGGCCCTCCAGCGTGGCCTGCAGAACCATCGAGGGCGGCGCCGCAGCAGCGAAGGCGGTGCCTGGGCCCGGGACACGACATGCGATGTCTCGGTTGTCCGCGGACAACCCACAAACCACAATGTTCCCGTCACTTTTGTTCAATATGGCATAATTCGCCTCGGCGACGACGCGTGAAGGCGGCGCCCTCACTCAGAAATGGGATGTTGCAGTGGCCCCAATGATTGCTGCCGCAAGCTGCTGCAGCCCCATCGCTGCGCAGCAGCACCGAGTGCTTCCGCCCGGCTGCGACCTCCGTGAACTTCACGTTTTCCTCGAGATCGGGTCGGTCGCACTGGCCCACGTCGTTCTTGCCCACATCGCGGGCAGCGGCGTCGCCCCCAGTAAGGCAGTGATTTGACATGCTGATTTGCACGATGGTCCGACGGACCTCCCACTCGCAGATCACCGCGCCCTGCGCGCTGAGGGCATTCGCGGACTTGACCTCGTCCACAGGAGCCCGCTCGTGTTTCAAGAGGCCCACGAGGGGCGAAAGTTTCCGCCGGGGCCTTCGGCGGAGTTCCCTGCGGGGCCAGGGGCCGCGAAACGTGTGAGGGGTGTGCCGAATGTTGGTGGTGGGGGAGGCATGAGGGCGCAGCCAATGGGGCCCTCGGTGGGGCTCACCATGGGGCCACGAAGCCTGCGAGGAGCGTGCCGAAGTGGGTGCTGGGGCGGTATGCGAGCGCAGCCAGTCTGGCCTTCGGTGAAGCTCCTTATGGGGCCACGAAGCGTGTGAGGGGCGTGCCGACATGGGCGGTGGGGAAACATGCGGGCGCAGCCACTGGGGCTTTCGGTGGAGCTCCCTACGGGGCCACGGAACGCGTGAGGGGTGTGCAAAAATTGGCAGTGGGGAGGCATGCCGGCGCAGCCATTGGGGCCTTCGGTGGGGCTCCCTATGGGGCAACGAAACGTGTGAGGGGGGTACCGAAT